AATAATAACTTTGACATCACCTTCTGAATGATATAAGCCCTTAGTTGTTTCCGGATTTTTAAGAAGTGATTTTCTTTTACAATTCGTGATTAATAAGTACGAAAAAAATTATGAGTTTATATGCAAAATTATTTTATTGAAAGGATGCAAATTGAAAATCAGTTTGAGGAAAATTTGATTTTGAAAAAATCAAAACAAACAAGGTCTATATTATATTAATACTAATAGGAAAAGCATTACATTTTAATTCAACTGTATTTTAGTTATTAGACTTTATTGCTTTTTAAATTGGTCCTTAAATTAGTGCATATTTTGCTAGGGCTGGATATAGTCCAGTTCGATTAGGTTCTAAAGATAATCAAATCAAACCCACATTTACGGATATTTAGTAATTGAAATCGTCGAGTTCAAATTTAATTATGAAACTGTTTAGGTTCAATTCTATTAGATTAAATTAAATTTGATTCGGTTTAGTTCAATTGCCACGCAATTTAATATTTGCAAAGCTACATTAATTCAACCGATAACATGTTCAATCTTAACTCTTACAAAATAACGTAGTTCAATTTTATGTATCTTTTGCTTCTCTCCTTGTTAAGTTTTTCATAGATTTGATTTTTAAAATCACAGGAAATTGAAGATGGCGAGCTTACAATAATGAAGAAAGGCACATCCGAGTTTCAATTCAAATTCTCCAGAACAATAAAAATCGCATTATGGTCGAATAGCAAATTTGGGTAAAATTTAGTTCAATTTGATTAAGATGGACGTGGATTGAACTTTAGAAATAAGATAATCATATTTTTTCATTTGAGCTAAATTAATTAATTAGCAAATTTATTTTTAAAACAATAATTTGGCTTATTTAAGATAAATGAATTAAAAAATTAGAAAAATTCAGTCTTTTTTTATTCTTTGATTCTTGATCTAGAAACGATAATCAAATCGAACATGTCAGTTCTCGATTCAGATACCCGTTCGGGTATTTAACTTAAGAAGAACCATTCAATTTGATTCAATTCGAATCGAGTTCGATTCAAGAGTTTTATCCAACACTATGTTTGGCAAACATTATAATTTTAAGTTAAAGTCAAACATTAAAAGAAATCACACATTTTTAAGACCCGTAATTACTATTTACTTGTATAGAACTCGTATATCATATTATAATTTCAACAAATTATAGATTTATCCAAACAAGACTTAGTTTCATTTTTTGTGTGGTTCGACTTTGACTCATGAGAAAATGAGAACATTAATTTGTTATCCACCGCTCAAATTATTTTTGAAGGACATATAGGTACTAAATGACTTATTCAACACTTATTTTTATTCATGGATGGACCTACATGGGATCGTGTGGGGTCAAGTGACCCCACAAATTTTTTATTTTTATTTTTTTCCAAAAAAGTATGTAGTCATATCCTTTATGACTTACTTTGACGAGTTTATTATGGCAAGTCAAACGAAGTCGAAATATTGCATTTTTAATATCATTTATAAGTGTTCATGACGTAATTTTTCGTTCATTAATAGCGTTTGAAATAGCCAATCGTAACAAAAGTTACAGCGAATCAAAGTAGTCATTTTAAACTATTATTTCAAGAATTTCAATAATATGCTAACTTTAAAAATTTGATGGTGATCCTACAAATCGCTTTAAGTCATTTAGAAGTTCGTTTCGAGAACTACATGTAGTCATATTGAATGATTCAAACAGATATCAAAAATAGTTAAACACGCGTCAAACGCTTGTCTTTAAAAGAGACGTCTAACCTTTTTTTTTTAATTATTTAACTAACATTTATTATTATTTCACGACAAAATTCTCAATATAAATTTTCATCATTCTATTACCAATTTTTATATGGAATATGAGGTAAAAAAAATTTAGGATCATTATAGATTAAGCCCCTGTTTGTCATTCATTTTCTATCATTCTTTTTCATTATTTTTTCTACAGTGCTCATTTTCAACCATATATTTTTTATTAAAATAATATTATACATAAAAAAAATTCATTCTTTTTAACCACATATTTCAACATCAATTACTATTCCATAATACATTCTTCTCAAATAATGGGTGACAAACACATCCTAAATATAGGCTCCGTTTGGTACACATTAATGTAAAAATTAGAATGAAAAATATAGCCGTTACGGGTCCCACACAAAAGATAGAAAGTCAAATATGAAGGCTTGATGTGATGGATAACGATCATATTTTTCATTTTAATGAGCAAATAATAGAAAACAAACGGGGGCTTAATTTGAATTGCTTACAAATTATTAACTTTGAATTTTATTTCATTTACTTCTTATATTCAATTTGATTTACTTGTTGTCGGCTCGTCATTTGTCAACAATGTGGGAAACAAAACTATATAAGTAGCAAAATTCATTTGACGATATTGATAATGATATAATTTTTTTACGTTTTCAAAGTATTAAGATGCGTAAACTACAATAGTAGTAGTTATTGACTTATTTTCATTAATATTATGTTGTTTTAAAAAATTTACATTTTTTTCTGATTCCACAATGTAAAAAGTCTAGTACGCCCCTGTTTCTATATACTTATACAACTGATAAGTATTAAGGGTGCACTTGATTGTCAATATTTTTCATAAAAAATATTTTTTTAACACGAATTCATACTTTTGTATTGTTTAATTAAATTTTTTTCATAGAAAATCTTATCATACTTTTGGTCACATGATTATATTTTTCTCAAAATCAAAAAAAATATTTTTTGTAGGGGAGTATGATTTTTATCTTCCAGAAAACTCACTCTTTCTTTCTTTTTTTTTTTTATCTATCAACTCTCTTTCATCTACTCACCAATAAAAAAAGGACAAGTATAATATTTTGTAAGTTGAAAATTAAATTCATCAAACACGTTTAATTGACAATTTTCATACAAATAAATTGTCTAGAATTTATTTACTTTCCATGCAAATTCCATGAGGGTGTATTTAGAATTTTATATGGAAAGAAAATAAATTAATTGCCTAGAAATTATTTGTATGGAAATTGTCAATTAAATGCATTTGTTTGATTTGATTTTTAATTTAAAGCATATTATGCCTCTGTTTGTTTTCCATTATTTTCCATTAAAATGAAAAATATGTTCGTTGTCCATTATATCAAACAACCATATTTGAATTTCTATATCTTGTGTGAAGCTCGTAATGACTATATTTTCATTCTCATTTTTCCATAAATGGGAAACAAACGGGGCCTATATTTGTCTATTTTTTATTGGTGTAGATTTGAGAGAGACGAGGTGGATGAGAAAGAAAGAAAGAAAGAAAGAGAGTTACCCAGAAAAAAAATTTACTCATCTTAAAGAAAATATTTTACTTTTTTTAAGGAAAATGTGATCATGTGACCAAAAGTAAGAAAATATTTTTAATGAAAAAATATATTAATTAAACAGCACAAGCAAAAATTTGAGTAGAAAAATAAATTTTTCATGAAAAATATTGGCAATCACCATAAATTATAAAATAATGTTATACACAGTTGTTCATTATGACAATCGCTTTACGTGACTTACTCATAGCTCATACATCAAATAATCACCTATCATCACGTAAGATGACTACCTTGATCAGTGACTACGAATGACGTAATCAAATTATAGAAAAATGCTATGCAGTCCCACTGGATTTATAATTCCAATTTGGATAGCGCTAAATAATATATTGAATGAAACTTATTTAATTTCATTTATTATTTAATGTCACATTAGATTGTAACCCCAATGCGTTAAATAGCATTACTCCAAAATGTATCAATTATAAGTTATGCTACTTGTACAATCATTTCTTATCATATTGATAGACAATCATACTTGTCAATATTACATTCATCAATTTCAAAAACCATTTTTTAAAATCAATGGATCAAATTTTGACAAAATCAATGTTGTCATATTGTCAATACAATCGAATGGTATGATTAGACTCGCAGGATCTTTCCATTTTTCAGAATTGTATAGAAATTTTACTTAATGCCTATTGGTGTTCCAAAAGTACATTTTCGAAGTCCTGAAGAGGAAGATGCATCTTGGGTTGACGTATAGTGCGACTTGTCAGATATATTGGATCATATGGGATTTCCCCATTTTCTCCCTCGATCGAGATACTTTGTTTCGTCTCTTACTGTCCAACCTGAGAACAGACAGCTAATACGTTCCACTTATTGAACACACCAGGCCTAGTCGGACCGAAACTACTATTAAGGCTTCCTCGGAACGGAAATCAAATGGGTTTCTCCCGATCAATACATGATTTTCTTTTAGTCTTTCTGGGGCCCACAACTGTGTGACAGCATTTTTGAATATAAAATGGTAATAGCATGGTCAATCCGGAAATTTCCGAAGCCGCTCCAAACCAAATCCCTGTACAATCCCATCCGTCTCTCTTCCCCTTCAAGTCAACCTCTTTATATCAAACACAAATCAGTGCTGTATACGTATACTTGCGTTTGTGTACGAATTCGATAAGCTATATATCTCGTTGCGAAGGTGAGCAAAAATGGCACTGGGGACCGTAGTTGAGGAGGTGGATGTGGAGATAATCAAGCCACGGAATGATAAAAGAGAGTACAGAAGAATTGTTCTTCAGAATAATCTACAAGTTCTCCTCATTAGCGATCCCGAAACCGATAAAGTTAGTAGCCTTTTCATTTATTTTTTGGAAATTGTAGTGTTGTACTTTTTTACTTTTGAGTACTTTTAGGTAGTGTTTGATTGGTTAATTTTTTCCATGGAAAATGAAATTTATCTTGCATTTTCCAACTTTTAGTTGTTTGATAACGTTGAGTTTTTCATGGAATTTAGATTCTTGGTTTTTAATTTTCTTGCTCTTGTTTCCCGGTTACTGTTCACATTTTTTTTTTTTTTTGTTTAAAATGGAAACAAATTTTAAGAATTATTGTAAAAAAATATTTTTCATAATTTTCATGTGAATCAAGGTTAAATGACTACCAAAATATAATGCTTTTTTTGAATTTTTTTTTTTTGGTAATGAAAACAAAACAAATTTCATTAAAATCTATTTCTTTAATTGACAATTTTCATGTAAAATAAAATCAAACGAAAAAAAAA